AAAGAGGAAAAGATCACAAAATGCAGTTTCTGCATTGGATAGTTACAATTCAGTTGCTGGAAGATAACCAATAATGTCAAATGAACCATTATGCCGTTTGCCATGCTGGGACTCTGACTTTTCACCTAACTCTGGGAAATGTTTGGCAAATTGTGTTTTCTTTTTTCAGGCAAATCTCTCATTGGAGTTTGGGCTGCACAATATTGCCTTTACTTCACCTTCCTGGTCACCACAAAACATTGTAAGATTAAACCAGTCTTGGTTGGTTAAGCTGGGCATTTCTTGAACAGAGGGAGAATAGACAGGGAGGGAAAACTTGGTGATAGGAATCTTGGTTTTGCATCCCATGAGCTGCTTGACATGCAGGTGGTAATGATGCTTAGTTTCCTTTTTCTTGTCTGAGCCGATCAGTGGGGTAAGGACAGAGTACTGTCTGTACAGCATGATGGTAAATACTTGAGTCCTGTTCACCGAGGCAGAAACTGAGTGATCAAATATAGTGCCAGTTTTCTCCAATTAAAAAAGAAATAGGAGCACATCCTTTCATATTATATCAGCAGATAACTGTGTGTGTATTGAATCTAATTCAGCAAAAGCCTGGAAAAAGTCCCTGTTTGAAGGAACAAACTGTTCTTTTAGTTGAGAGAGATTCAATTTACTTTTTTTTTTACTTTCTTCGGGGCTTCCTTTCTTTAATAACTAACTTACATGCCATTTTAACTTATAAACATGTTCTTTCTGCCACCTTTAGATAATTTAAAACATTAATGAAAAGAAGAATTCAAATCTATAATTTTTTTTATGGGGAAAGTAAGTACACCATCCCTATCACGTGTTTTAGTGGAAGGAGCAGAATCCCTAGAGGCCTTTCCTCTACCAACTCCAAGGTAAAAGTGAGACAGCAGCTCCTAGGCAGAGGTATCAAAGGTTGCGGACTAATGTAATATAACCAGGGAGATTGTTCTCATTTAATCACTGCCAAAAGGCCTCCTGTACTCCATGACTGGCACTGACTCCATCATTTGTCATGGAAATATATTCTTGCAGTTAAGCTTTAATTAAAAAAAAAATACCCAACAGTTTCTAAATCTTATGATTATGAAGAAAACCTTGAACATGTAAACAAAGTGTATCTAGTTCAGTATTGTTTTCTTATCTGCAAATGGTGTGGGACCACAGCTCTGAGAGCCATGAATTGTCCGTGCTGACCTCAGTAACTTATCACTGAAATCTAAAAGAAGGAACAGACTGAGAAGGGACTTCCTAGGTCACCAAATGCGGTCCCCTGTACTTGGGCAGCTATGTTATATAATTGCTTTCACAAAATAATGAAGCTCCACTGCTCCTGGTGGAAGGTTGCTTCAGAACCTCACTGCTCTAATTCTTTGAAATTGTCTTCTCATTTCCAGGCTAAATTTATTCATGCTTTGTCTATGTTACAAGGTCTCCTCTTGTAAAGTAGGCTGTCCAGTCCCCTGATCATTCTCATAACCCTTCTCTGCACCTGTATCAATTCAGATTCATCTTGAACAGGGGGATCAGAACTGTACTTAATATTCCAGATGAAATCTCCCCAGTGCCTTCTACAAGGGTACAAATGCTTCTCTCTACTAGAAAAAGCCTTGTCTGATGCATTGTTTTTCATTCTTGCATCACATAAAGGTGCTCAGTCATGTTGTGGTCATTTGTTGCACCTAGAACTCTCTCTCCATTGTTTCCAAATGATGAGCTTTTAACTTTATTATGGTAGCTTCTCTTATAAAATATTACTCTCAAAGAGCATGTCCTTGTATAACAGAAATCGGATGAAGTTTAGTATTACAAAGTACAAGTCATCAGGGCCATCTGCTTCTTTCTGTATGATATTCTAACCCTTCTTTTTCAACTGTGACTCCAAACTTTTTGTATTATTGGCAAATATTATTAGTATGCTCCTCTTCTTTTTGTGCCGAGGTTGCTAAGAAAATATATACTGAGAGGTCCCATGGTTCCCCCTTGAATAATTTCACTGGTAACCTTCCAGTCAGTAGTTCTTTTTCAGCACAATTTGTTTCTTCTCTAGTTATGTCCTTACCGTCTTTTGAAATTCCTATAATTTCCATCTTAACTGATAATTTCCTGCTTTATATAATGCAACAGCCAGAATGATAGACTTATTGGGGGTCCTTATTACTGAAGCTGTTAAACATCTTTTAGTAGTCTGCAGTGGAGGTTTTCTGATTCCCTGGACTTGAATGTATTAAGTGCCTAGCTTGGTTTTGGTCATTTCCATTTCCTTAAGACTCATTTCTACAGTTATTCTGCCTATACCCTCATGCTTACATCTGCTTCCTTGTTGAAAACTGAAGCAAAGTATTCATCTAATTTTGGAGCCCTAACTAGCTCATCCTCATTTTTAGCAGAGCCACTTATTTTGCATTCTCTCTCTCTCTCTCTCGTTTACATGGCTGTGAATAATTCTTTACTCTTTTTAATTTCCTTTGCAAGGTCTAACTAATCTTGACTTCTGCCAATTCAGTTTATCCCTACATTTCTTGCTTTCTAAGGCACAACTTTCCTTGTTGATCAGTACTTTTTTCCATTTTTTACAAGCTCTGCTTTTTCCTGACAAATGTTTTTCTGTGTGTGGTATGGAATTCTTCCCTTTTGCTTGGGATACAAGTTTCAGACTTACAAAGTTTCTTTTGATGTAAAAAGGAAGTCCAGATCTTCTCTTGTTTAAAGTCCCTCAGTTCTTTAGTGTAGTTCATTGCATTAGGTAGTTCTTTAATTTATTAACATTTCTCCAGGTTAAATTGATAGCCTTTTTTTTTCCAGACCAAGTTCTATTTATCTGTCCACTTAATTTAAACTGAATCAATATGCACAGGTATTTTCTCCAACTGCAAGATGACCATTTAAATGTTAAATGACAAAAAATGCCTAGAGGCATAGATTTTATGAGGTGGTATCTTCTATGGAGCCAACTGCATAGTTGGGATAGAATTAGACAAGCTTTTCAATGCAAGATATTCTTCATCAAATGTAAGACATTCTGGTATTCAAAGGCTTGCCTAAGATAAATCGCCCTAAGAAATCCTTGCCTTGCATAATTCCTAGACCATCATGGCTACAATATCACTCTAACACTACCAAAAATGCATAGCACAGAAATAGTTAATGAAACTAGCTGTCTCCAAGCCTTCCCAAGTGTCAGAAGCCTTATCTAGCCCCTATATAGCTGCTAAAACCTCTATCTTTGCCCCAGATGACTTCTGTGATGCAATTATGGGGCATTAATAGACAAACATTAAGCGTATTGAGGATGGAAAATGTGAGGACAATATAAAATGAAATGGATTAAATATCTACTCACACCAGGGACTTCTATATTGATTTGTATTGTTCATTTTAATATATTTGAATTCACTAAACGGTCTGGTATTTTAATTCTAATAAAGCCGCACAGAATTTCAAGTTTGTTGCATCAAAACTGCCGGTGCTGTAGAACCCAGGGACCTTGCCATGGAATTTACATGCAGCTTTCCATGAGGTAAATGGGACCTGCTAATTAGATTATTAAACAAATGCTGTATTTACGATTTGCTGCTAAAAGCACCCATTACCATAGTAACACTGTTCTCAACACTGCCTGTGCCATTTGTGTGGCTAAAACGCTACTAATCAGGCATAAAGGAATTTTTTAAATTTAGAGCTGTCTGGATTTGCCTTATAACTGCCTTGTCTGCAGCTTCCATGAAAAGGAACATTATTTAGTGAGATGTCAGGATCAAAAGAATGAGCCCTCTCCAACTTTTTAACTTCCATTTTAAGATGTGGACACTAGAAATAGACCTCACCAGAGGTCATATAACCTCCCTATATTTCTCTTTAAGCATTCAAGGACCATATCGGGTCTTTTGGTCACAGGACTACACTGAAAGTTCATGGTCAGCTGATTACCTACCATGATTCCTCAAGCCCTTTTCTGAGATGCAGCATTCTAGGATTCAGTTCCCAATCCTGTAAGCATAGCCAATGCTCTTGGTTCCCAGATGTATAACCACATGTTTGACCATATTAAAATAACCTGGTTTAATATTTTAACTGCACACTCAATTCAGAGGGACCCAGATTCTTCTATTAAGTTGATACACGTAAGTGACCTGTCTTCATCAAGGATTTCTCTTACCTTTGCAAGGCAGTTGTTACTCTCCCTTCCTGAAGAGGAAAAAAATCTCACAATCTGTTATTACCATCTCTGCAGGTTTTTAACAGCCACAAAGAGCATGGGTCCAATGATATTTTGCAAAAGGAGGGTTGGAGTGGAAAAGGATAGTACCAAGTATAAATTATAAATTAAGAAACAAAGGGAATTGCTAAGAGGATTCAAAGGTATTAGTGAGAATTCTAGGATCAACCTAATTAGGGGCAATAAGAAGGAGCATATTGGGAACTAAAGGAAATCTAAAATGGGATTGGAAAAGTTGGAGAGGGTTCAGAAAAGAACCAAAAGACTGACTTGAGGAAATGAGAAATCATCTTTCCTTTGGAGAATTTAAGGCACTTGGTTGCAGTCTAACTTTTTTCTTCAATAAGTAAATTCCTACAATACAAGGTCATTTTTATACATGTAAGCACTGCAGAGCCGGGCACTTTGAAAAGTGTCTGGCACTGTGACACTTGCAGTTATAGAAGCAGCAAAATGCACATCAGCGCTGAGAAAATGGCAGTGGCGCGCTATTCAACTAAAACACCTTGGAGGCACTGTAGTTCAAAAGTGCACTGCCGCCATTTTCTGCGCGCTGATGCGCATTTCGCCACTTATACAGCTGCACATGGTGCAGCGCAGTTCGCCTCAGCTCGCGTACAGAGCAGACTCATTTAATTTGAAGCAGCGGATCTCTGGAGTGTTGTGGGAAAACAGTATGTATATAAGTGCCCCAAGTGCCTACATTGGGAAAAGATTTCTGAGAGCAGTGGTCTTAAGATAGCAGACAAAGGTATAATGACACCCAGTGGCTAAAGCTAGTCAGATTCACACTGGAAATATGATTTTAAACAGTGGAATAACTTGACAAGGATTGTGGCGAACTCTTCATTGTTTGAGATTTTTAAATTAAGGCTAGATTTGATCTTTCTAAAAGATTGAAGTGATTCATGCCCAATAACTCTTTTAATTGAATTGCAGCAGAATTCCTTGCCCTGTGTTATGCAGGGTAGACTAGAAGAGTGGTGCCCAACCCATTCAGTCTTGTGGCTTTGGGCCTGTCCATGAGCTGGTTTAGGCTGGCACACTGGATCAGTCTGTGGTCGGTTCTGGTGTGTGAGGCTGGTCTGGTCCCAGATCACCCGTATAGGTGAACTAGACTACTGGGGTTCCACACAGGTCTAGAAACTTGGCAGTGGGGGAGTGGTGGCAGCCATGGCAATGAATAGTGCCACAGCTCCCCTGCCACCAAATTTCTGGACCCATGGGGAGCCCCATGGGCTGGATTCAGCTCACAGGTCATAGGTTGAGCACTACTGGAAAAAGACTACCGTCTCAAGATAGCTATGGGGGACAAACATGTCCTGGCTTATAGGCAGTGCCCCCTTCTTATCTCCCCCTGCAAACAGTCTCTCTCAAGAAACAGGCTACTACTTCCTATTACTACAAGGTCACAATTTTTCCTCCTGCCATTTAAAAACCTATGAAATTAGGAACTCCTAGGTCAGCGGTTCTGAACCGGGGGTACATGTACCCCCAGGGGGTATGTGAAGCATCATCAGGGGGTACTTGAGATATATTTTATACATGTCTAACACAGGTCGAAGGGCCTAAAAAAAGTCTTGACAATTTGAAATTGCTGGGGTTTTACTGCCGTAAAACGTGCATGTGCGTGGAAACCAGATATCCTACTTCCGCTCCATGCCTCAACCTTGCACCGGAAATGTCGCTCCTAGGGGGTACATGAAGCCTCACTCTGAGACCAAGGGGTACGTCGACTGAAAAAGGTTCAGAACCACTGTCCTAGGTAGTCAGCTGCAATTTTCATCATTTACACCTGCTGACCGGGTGACACTGGCCAGAATTTCAACAGAGGTGATTTATATTTGCTACTTCTTCACAGAAAGAGAAACTTGTTTAAGTTCCAGAAACGACATTCTGGGTGGATCAGGCTGTCGCACTCCAAATAGTTCAGAGAGAAGAGACCTTGCTATTACCATATCAGAGAAAAGAAACATTTCTAAGCTTTCAGTATGAAGAGAACTGAGTTAGCGTGGGAGCTCATACACTAGTGCTCTAGTATTCTGCTGCGCTGTTTCATCTGCCTTAGGTCACCCGCAAACCACAGTGACCTCTGGGAATGATGATTGGAATGGGACATTGAGTTGCCAATCAGTCAGAAGAGCATTTAAGCCATTGACAAAATGAACCCACATGGAATTTGGGTCTGCTGGTCTCACAGGAACTGGGAGTGGCCCTCACATCAAACTGAAGGAGCCAATGGTCTGACCAAGAAAACTGTGAAATAATTCCAGTGGTGCCAAGGTGCATCTTATCCCTTGCTCTTTGCAGTGCTGCTCATGGTGAAATCTGAGTCTAAATCTGAGAAGTGTCTATTTTTGGTATTGAAGCTATCATAACACTGAGCTAACATCTACCTCACCTTTTCTCCTTATTTCCTTACCTGCTTCTACCCCACCTCTTGTTTTCTCTGTCTTAAACATCGTTTGCTGCTTTTCTTCTCCTTTCTCTTAAAGAACCCGAAAAAAGAAAACGCAGTCCAACAGATGGAGCAGCCACTCCTGTTGGCAAGGACCCTGGTTTAGCCATGAGGGTGGAGCCGAAGCCTGTGGTGCAACTGCCAGTACCTCAACTCATGCCCAGGGCACCAAGCCCGGCAGGGAAAGGGCCAAGGGAGTTTGACACGAGGAGTCTAAAGGAAGAAAATTTTATTGCTTCCATTGGTGTGTATTGATGTGCATGAGGAATACCGGAGGAAGGGTTCTACTTGCATCCTCCCCATTTTAACACACTTCCCTTCATTGCTACAGTAACGCGCTTCATTTGCACCTGGATTGCAAGGACCAGTCACTCCCATCTTCTCTCACTCTGGGAGGAGTATTTTTCAGGGCAGTTTGGTTTTCCAGAAACTTTTTAATTTTAAATCTTTCCAAGTACAGCTGATGCATAAAATACAATTTGGTGAGCAGTGCGGGGCTGATATTTTCAGGAAGCACAAGTTATGTCTTATGCCAGGCAGAGCCTTACTGAGACACAGTAGTGCTCCACTCGTTACCTCTCAAAATGGTAATAGCACCACATGTTTGCACCAATTGGCTCTCTCTCTCAGCTGAGTTGGTTAGTATGCATGCAGTGCCACACTAAGATGGCTATGCTTCTGTTTCAGCACCATATTGTGGTACAACACTGCCTGGTGTCATAATTAAGTGGTATAGGCATGCCCATAAAGTGACTTGAGGGAGATGACAGCATAAGGCAGGGACCTTTAGGACTTTGGCAATACCTAGTACAGAAGGAATTAACTAAAACAAAAAATCCTGGTAGCTCTTGCCATGCCTTATAATAATAATAAGATGAAGGTATCTAGGGTATACAATAGATATGGGGTGTCACTATCTGCTGGTGGTTAACACAATCCTTAGGAAGGAATTTTGCTGCTCTTCATTTTCTTTAAGTTGGACTGATGGATGTTCTTTCCACTTCCTGGCAGACAAGCTGCCTTTCTGCCTGCCTAAACAGCATCTGCTAGGCTTGTGTTTGGTATTTTCCCTTTCATTTTGTTTAATTGGAAAAAAACCATAGTTATATGAAAAAGCAATAGCTAATGAAGCTAGCTTTTCCCCTTTCTTTCTCTTCCTACTTTCACATAATGGCCACAGTCAGAAATTAATTCCTTTTACTGGATGGTGCATCCCTCTGACCCAATATGTTTCCTTGATGCAAGAGGGGGAGGAGTGCACATTAGAACAACTGGAGGTTTTTAGTCTATTTGGAAATTCTCCAGGTAACAAAAATGTAATCGTATTCCTAAGATCAAACTTTGGGGGTCTGAGTTCCTTCAGAGTATATACTTGCTTTCCTTTTTCTGAGGAAAAGGACAAAAGGTGAAAAAGCCATTTTCTTGGAAAAGGGGAAACTATCTTCTGCTAAAAAGTCAGGAAGATGGAAGCTCTTAGCCTGAGACTATTGTACAGAAAGAAGGCGCAGCACTGACTGGACTGGACAGTCAGCTCTGCTTTTTGCCTGAAACTAATGATTTACCTCTTGCATATGGGTGTTGTAAGGATCAGTCTCTCCATGTTTGTGATGCACCATGGAAAAGGGTTGCGCTCCAGAAGTGCTAAATGCTATTTTTCTATTTTAATTTTTACCATTGAAACTGTTACTGGCAGAGGAGCATCCTTGAACAATTAGCAGTGTGCTGAGCAACAGGGAACAAGTTAATTTCTGATTTTGCTCTTCATAGTTTCAATAGTTGCCACTTGCTGAAGATATTAAATGCAAGAGAGAATGAAGCAATTGGACAAAATCAGAATTATTAAAGCCAGTCTGAAGGGCTGGGCTGTCTCAGTTTCTTAATGGAACATTCTCTAACCGAGTGATGTAGTTAGTCTGAGGTCGAACAGAAGGTAAGGTAGATTTGCATTTTATAGTCTAACTAATTTAGATATATACAACATAAACTTTCATGAACTGGAGCTTACTTCATCAGATGCTGTGAAAGGATGGACAGAGAACAGCGTATAGAGTGGAGAGAGCGATTTGAATACAACAGGTAGGAAGGGAGAGGGGCCTGAGGGACAGGGGTAATGCTTGGAGAGGCATACAAGCTAAGAAACCATGGGAACAAAGGGGTCACAAGCTAATCTAGGGTATGGGATAAGAATCTGTTGTCACTATTTAAACTATACATAACACAATCCAGTCTGTAGATAAGTTCTTGTTTTGTAACTTCTTGTTCAGATCAGTTTTTAGAGGTTTGCTGCCTAAGAACTGTGCCACCCTCAGCAATGCAGTGTCCAACAAGGTTAAAATATTCTGCCACCATCCTTTTTGTCTTTTTGGAGCTAATATCAGATTGATGTTTGTTCATTCATTCTTTCACATTTGCCCCATCTGTCTAATGTAGACATTAGAGGGACACTGTTAGTGGGTGATAGCTTTTACGACGTTGGTGAAGTTGCATGTCAGTGAACTTGGAATGCTATTTGGTCCATTGATGATGTGGGCTGTCTTGTTGTTGGGGCACAACAGGCATCTTGGTCCATTGCAAATCCTAGTGCCTTGGTGAGTATGGGAGTTAAGTAGTCTGTTTCCTGACAGATGCCATTGAGGGTGAGGGGGTGGGGACTGCCTATAAGCCTGGACAGGCTTGTCTCCCATAGCTATCTTGAGACTGTTGTCCTTTTCCAGGATGGTTAGAGGGCATTAATAGGTGTTCAAGGTGGGGACTGTAGGTGATTACCAGAAGGGCTGTGTTGTCCTTGTTCTGGGTACTGTAGCAGATTGGTGTGAAGTCTGAGTCTGGCTTCATTTGATTTTTAAGTAGCTACAATTTGGGGATTGTACTTTAATTTTAGAAATCCCTTCTCTAGATCCTTAAGGTGTGCATCCTGGTCCATGCGGTAAGAGCAGATATGATTGTAACCTAGATCTAATATTGTGCTTAGGATGAAAGTTGACGGGTTTTACCTTTTCATTTAAATCAATGATTTTAAAGTGTGGTTCTGAAGTAAAAAGGCATTGCATTTCCTTCCCTCAGTTGTTTCAGATTCTTGCTTATTTATTCAATTTATGAAGAAGGAGTTGTTTTACTTGTCAGTCTAGTAGGCTCACTTGGGATCTGGAAATCAGCCTGAGTTTTTTAAAATTTTCATACATTGCCACTAGTGCTTAAGGCTTTTCAGGACAGATGCTAGCTGTGTCTAACTTCATAGCCTTTGGTGGATTTGTGCAATATAAAGAAGTTTGCAGGTAGAACATAAAAGGCATTCCCATCTTTAAGGATAATGAGAAGGCCTATGATAGTATGTCATGAGAAAAAATTGGGAAGAGTTGGAAAGGTTAAAATAAGAGTAAAACTTTTGTGAATTTTATTAAGAGAATTTACCAAGTCAGTGAATGTTGTGTGTAGACAAGGTAGGACAGATGGAAAGCTTTCACTTGAGGCATGGCTTGAGCTTGGGTGGCGTGTTTGTTTACATTTCAATGTGGTTATGAAAAGAAGTGGAGGCTATGTTAGTTGATGATATGATAATACACTTCTTCCTTAAATTATCTTAAAGGCATCACCTATATGAAAGACTTTTGTTAAGAGGGGAAATGTTAAATATTTAGATATTTTGAATGGATTTAAATATCTTGGCTCAGTGATCACTGGTGATGGAAGGACTGGAGAAGTGGCAAGATGACTGCAGCTTGCTGGGAACTTTTATAGAAGTATGAAAGGGTAAGCGTGGGGCAGGAATGTCCTGGAGGAAGTGAAGTTTAGTTATGTTACAGGATTCATTACATCTTGGTGGTTTTGTATGGATCCTAGGCTGGGGTTCTAATGAAGATAGATTTCACCTGGCTGCAAGTTGCAATAATGCATTTTCTGAGGGCAGTTCTTGGGAGGAGTTGGAAGACATGAATAGAAAGACAGAGGTTGATGGTTTTTGAGTGTGTGAAAAGAATGTACAAGGCCAGGATACCATATGAAATGCTGAGGATGGATATTGAGGGCAGTAGGAGATAAAAAGATGAGGTGGAGAAAGATGTTGACATAAGAAGTGGTTCCTAATAGGAATTTTGCTGCAGAAAGATGGTGAGAAGAAAGAAAGATATTTCCAGACCCAGAAAAAAAGCTGAAACACATGGCTAGTGTTGATGACAATCACTTCCCACCTGATTATTTGCTATCTTCTCTCACGCATTCCAGCTCCCTTGTTGTAACAGGGTACTGTCTCCAGGGTGGTTGCAAGCCCCTGGAGGCCCCCCAAATTCCCCTTTTTCCTTGTTTACTCTGGGAACAGTCCCCACTTCACTTTCCTGACATGTCTTGCTATCCCTTATAGTCGTAAAGGGGAGGCTGCCCCAGTGCTTCCTAGGCCTGGTCTTGCTCCAAGGAACACCTGAAGGTGTGGGTCCCTTGCCTTAAGGGCTAATTGCACAGCTCCATACATCCCCTACACCATACCCCATGCCTCAGACTTTGAATCTCCAATCAGGTGGGGCACTTGTCCCAGCGTCTCCAGGCCTTTTTTTCCCTTTGTTGGGGTTTTAGCCTTCCCGGCTTCTGCCCCTCTACTCTGACTGGTCATGCAGCCCAAGCCCACTGCTCTAGGCCTGACATCTGGGCCCCAGCTCATGCTCTGCCTTGAACCTACCGCTGCAGGGCTCAAGACAAGTACATACACCTGGGATACTAATGAAACCTCTGAAAACCTCACCTTTATAGTCCCAGCCCAAACTGGTTTAAACTGCAGCATAAACACTAAGGCCCTGGGCTATAACATAAGAAGAAAATGAATGCTCTATGCCTGTGTACCAAGAGTCTCTTTCTCCCTCTCTCTGGGTCGCTCTTTCTTGTTCCCCAGCTTTCTAAGCTGCTTTCTTTCAGCCTCCTTGGGAATTTAGGAGTCTTGCACTCTGCAACTCTCTGGCTGGCTCAACCCTAGGGCTTATATAGCTCTGGCCTAAGCCCTCTTCTAGTCATGTGATACCCCAGTCAGCTAACCTGACTACAGGGCTGTCCTTTAACCCCTGCTCTGCTGGCTGTGCTCTAAAAACTCTGTCCTTAAAGGGGCTGCACCGCTTTCTAGTAACAGGGCCAGTTCCCAGTTACACTTGCACTGAGCAAGAGTCCAGAACTTAACACCAGAATAAGGTGGGATCCATGTCCAGTTCTCTAGTTTGGATCTACCAAAGAGATTCCACTAAAGGGATGTGCTTCCTCCATTCA